CTTGGGTTTCGGCGCTCGACTCTTGGACATGTACCTCGCATGGTACGAATTCGTTGACGCCCTCCGCATTTACATGCCTTCGTCCCTCAGCTCGAGAGCAGTGCCCTCAGGGCACGATTCCTACACGTCTCAAGTACCTGACGGATTATTTCAGCTTTCAGCTCATCTCACTTTCTATACCAATCTTGTAGACTCAGCCTACTAGTCTGTAGTCAACCAAAAGTCTCTGTTGGATTGAAAGTTCTGTTCGCAATAAGACGGCAGTGTTCATAAGTGTTAATAAGTGAGGGTATATCTGAGAGTCATGGCAGCGTTCAGGCTTACTGAATAACGCAACGAAGAACTCACCATGTTGCCATTAGCCACTGGCGAGCATGTTCGCATCACCCCTAGTCAGGCCGGTCACGGCGTTGGACTATGAACTGACACACGTTTTGGGGGTCATTTCATGATTGCGAAGTGGACTCGGGCGTTTGTTATTATAGAATGTGCTATTTTTTCTATTTGTCCTTGTCCTGGCTGCAATTTATGCTTTGGGATTCCCTCATGAACACTGACGGCTCAACAACATTGATTACACCGATTCAGTTCCTGGGCACTATCAAGGTTATTATAACCTTCGTAAGATACATACCGCAGATTATAATGAATCATTGGCGGAAGTGAACAGCAGGTCTAGCGATTCAAGTTCCGATGATGGGCATTACTGGAGCCCTCTTCAGTGGCCTTCAGAACGTCCTGAACGACGAGCGAAGAAAAACTCCGGTCTCACACTTCGAGTGGATTCTTCAAACTAACCTCACTAGTAGATGCGAGTGACGCAGCAGAGGATTAGCAGTGGAAAGCTTCCACTGGAAGCGGTCGAAACCACGCGGGTATGAGGAAAACTTCTTCCGGAAATGCGGTAACTGTTTCCGGTCACTCCACGTTAGCGATCTTGTATGCACTCGCGGCAAGTCAGTGCGAGGGTCGCACTACACAGTATACACATACACTGTATCTGGCACGGCTGCCGAGCCTCGGCAGGCTGCGTCGATTAGGAGTAGAGTAGGCACGGCTTGGCAGCCGAGGGATCCTCGCTGCCTATGGGGAATCCATCGTACCCTATATTTCATGCGGTGTCCGGTCATGGCAAGGGGCGCTGGAGGGGGAGTGGTGTCAAAACTATTTCAAAAATCATGGCCTATGCCGCATAGTCGGTCATGGAGCCACGGCGAAGAGCCGCGAACTCGGCGATCATACCGTTGTCGGGCCTCATGTCCTAGCGCTCGGTATTCGTGGAGCTTGTGGCCAGAACAGAAGCGAGCGAGCATCAGAGAGTCTCCCTGCCAGGTCTCTTGGAAACCGGCCAAATGCCGGACTAAGCACTACCGAGAGATGACATCTGCACGGTGCAGACTGCACCCCTTTGCACCATGGGCTGGCGGATTGAATATAGTTATTCAGAGCCGTCGACTATGCATGTCAACACCCAGGTCGGACCTGGTAGGTCGGCCCCCCCCCTGGGTCACCGTGAGCGACCCGCAATCGAGTTTACGCACGTTGCAGTGCCGAATCTCCGGCTCGGGGACCGACCGAGCGGAATGCAATAGCATGTAGTCTACATGATGTAGAGCAGTGGCGCCCTCAGTGGACACCGATATAGCTCGCCGTCTAAGGTTGAGATGGTGCCAGTCGCATTGTGGTATAGTAGGAAATGAAAATGCGACCGGCTTCATAGGAGGGCGTTGTGCCCTTTCAGAACTAATCCGGGATACTCAGGATGAGATTCATCCGATGAAGTATCAGAGGCCGCGACGCGAGTGTATGGTAGAATACCATCAGAGAAACTTGGCTGAAATGTGCGTTCCCTTCGGGAACTTTCCGATTCGGCAACTTCTTAGAAATTCCGAATTTCGAGATATTCGAGATGTCACCGCGCCCGTGGTGAGCGGGGCGATATCTCGGACCATGAGCGGCTCATGCCGCCGCTGACCGGACAATCACCGACGCCGCGCTAAGGCCATTCTCCAGTTCTTCGTGCGGGAATCCGGAGGACAGTACACTTCATCTGATGGAGAACTGTGCACTTCTGAACGATGCCAAAAAGAGCGACGAGGATGAGCCCACTGGGATTCAGACAGACAGAGGATTCAGCACCTTATCGAATTTCAAAGACTCTTATCTTAGTGCTCCTCTGTCACGCATACACTGTGTGTAAATGGCTGCTTGATTATCAGGCTCGCTTTGCATTTAGCAAGAACTCACGATCGTATGAGGTCTCGCAGTTTTTCGACTTCATCCGTGGCGTCACGCTATCACATGTGTATAGCACCACCACAGCAAACACGTGGAGTTCAGCGTGCCACATCTTGCGATAGGTGACCGCTATGCGGATCAGCCCCGCTGTAACGGTGTCATGTCCCACTGAGGGTCTCATGATGGACTCACTGTAGCCCTGTCAGCTGACAACAAGGGGTAGTTGCGAAGGTTTGTCTCACACGATGAGTGAAATCTGAGTGGATTGAGCTCAAACTAATCCAATATTGCCTCCGGTTGGATCGGGACATGTTAGGCTCCACGTCTCAAATGCAGAGTTCTCTGCGTGACGCAAGCATGCGTGAAACCTTTGAGATTGTTCCTCGAGAGTGGCGGCGGTTTCGACATGTCTCTCCCTGAGATTCCCGTTCGTTAGAGTTGATTGTACTCGATGCGTTACATTCTCCTCCTCGTCATTGTCGTCGTCGCTGCTTACTTCAGTGAAGCGGGTCGACTCGACTGTCCTCCATCTTCGGAGACGAAGAATATGGCAACCTATTCTTGGAGGCAAGCCTACTGGACTGGTCAGGACACGACCTTCCTAGACTTTTTCAAGTCCGACGTGTCGAAGGAGTACAACCGTGGTGATGTTTACCTCAACGTGGCCGATGCCTCCAACGTGGGCAAGATTATCCACCCTGAGAGACTGGCCGAGCTCATCGCCAACTTCCGCAAGGTCAGCGGAAACTCTGCAAGGTTCTATCTTTTCTATGCTCAAGGTGGTGGCAACGATAAGAAATGGGCCCCCGATTTCGTTCGTGTCTTTAAGGAGTTCATCCTCAAGTACGGCAACCCTGATATGGGTACTCTCGGTATCAGCTTCCAAGTCAAGCTTGACCTTGCTACGTGGTACAACATATTTGATGCTTTCGATGCGCTCAAGACTGACCCACAGTTCAAGCCCTACAACATAGCCCTTGATGTTACGATGAACTATTACAACACTGACAGGAAACTGGTGGACCAGATTATGTTCAGGGCTGATCACGTTACTCTGCTTACCTTCGCCAACACCTCCCCGCGACTTATCAACTTTTTCGTAGCCTTCCTGACCAAAATTTGTCCCAACTGTAACAATAACTACTATCCCAATTACAAGGCTAAGATCACTTTTTTGGCCGAAGGTGATTGCAACTCGGGAGCCTGTAGTAAGACGTCGATGTGTGCTTACTACAGCGATCGCCTTACCGACCCCAAGGGAGGTATCCTCTACGCTTACAATCAGCTTTCGACTGCTCTCGACCATGTTCGTGATCATGTTCTGTCTAAGCATAAGTTTGATTACTTCTTTGAAGCCGGTGGTACACATATCGGTCTTAGCTCCTTCTCGTGGGTCATGTGTTACTACGGCTCCGAGTCGTGGCATCAGATTGGCCTACAAAAGTGTATGTCCGACTACCAGTCCGCTTCACAGATATGCCGTCAAGGTTAAATACCCTTATGTCTCGAAAATTATTTTGAGGTCACCATCAGAAGTAGAGCTTCGTGGTCAAGTCGCCGACGTTACTTTCTTTCACACGGGTGTTTTTCCCACGATTATTGCTCATGATCTAAGGATGTAAGATCAGAGTAGAAGTTTCTGGGCAACCACTCGACTCCACTCCGTATTCACAACCCCTACCAACAGCACGTCTTCTCGACGGTTGCTACTACAATTGATTCCAAGCGACGTCGCGATCTTCGTTCCGTTTCGAGTTGGTTACATGATAAGGTTAGACTAGGAATCAGAGCCCAGCAAGATTTATTATCAACTTAGCATCGAACGCAGCCTGGAGACGTATGCGGATCCTCATGCAACAGGTGAATCAGAGTATTTACTCAGATGGAAAAAATTTTTTCATCTGAGTTAATCAGATTTAATGAAAAATGATTTAATCAGAGGGTGAGTATTGACCCCTGAATCACTGATTTTTTATTCTGGACTTCAGAGTGTGGAGCGAGAAATCAGGATCATCGCGATGATATGTGAATCTCTGAGTTGATTCGAGAATCAAAAGTTGATTTTTTGGCTGATTAATACTCTCACTCAATGGGCGTTACTCATGAGGCTGATTTTCCGGGTGATTCCATTGAATCTGAGTATTTTCGAGAACCAGGGGATCAGAGTTTGAATCAGACATTTTTGACAAGACGAAGACTACAGTCGCTACGCCCCACAACCGAAAGTGACAATTTCAAGAAAGGGAGAAAACGTCATTCTGTGAGGGTACAACTTGGTAAGTTTGTATCGAATACATGAGCATTTCCTGCTACACTACTGGGATGATAAAACTTTTTGAAAGGAAATCTTCTGTGCACGTGTACACATCCGTACTTCAAACTTTTCAAGATGTTCACTCGAACGTCGGAATTAATAACTCTTGGTTTGTAACTCAGAAATTCTAAGTGAAAATTTAAGTCCGACAACTCCAATAGAGCTTCCTGTGAGAACCAATAGCGTGGTCGGGTGTCGTTCCCCGACAATATCTCGGAGTTTATTCATGGTTTTTATGAATAGTTAATTGAATTCAGGAATGCGTAAATTACGCAGCGAAATTCACACCGTATGGTGCGCTATAACTCCATGCACCGTTTTGTATCGTACGACCTCATAGCTGAACTGGTTGAGGAGATGATTCCACGGGCTCGAAGCTGAGGTTCTATTCTCGGTCCCGGTCGTGCTAAAAGCCTGTATGTACTACGTACGCTATATCTCCGCGCACTGTCTTACATTGGATCATCTCACAGCTCAACTGGGTAAGGATGCGTTTTCGCTTGACCGAAGCTAAGGTTCTATTCCCGGGTACGGTCATTCTAAGAGCCTGCTCGCAAGGAGCTGAGGTCCTCGACCTGTGGTGGTCTACCGTGGTGCGCGCTGCAGTCGTGAATCAAGGTCGAGAATCAGAATCAGGGGCTGGTACCAGGGGTCCGGACCCCCGGTACAGAATCAAGATTAATCCCCGTGTTGAAATGTGAGCTTATACATAATGAGTATGTTCCTGGATCATGCTCAAGGCGAGATTGCGACATTGGATCTGGGCAGCTTTGAGTTTGAGTAAAAGAATCTCGACTCCTGAGAATTAATCTCGAATCACGAGTTAAAATCCCAACTCTAAGTATTTAATCTCGAATTGATGAAATACTCTGACTCAGTGCCAAAAACGCTGAATCAGCCATTGAGTATAGAATTGAATCTTGAATCGTGATTAGGGATGAGGAATCGGATTCAGCGGCTGATTAAAATCAAGTGTGTGACACACTTGACACACTGTGTGTCATTCACATGACCGAAGCGATACACGTATCTTCTGTGAGTAACATCATGACGATCGCGCCAACATATCTGACTCGAAACCGTTATCGTTTCGGATGCTCATGATCGCAATGAACTAAACCCAAACTACAGACTCTTTTCTGATCTATTTCGCTTCACCTATCCATTGTTGCGCTATGACCAATGGATCGGCAAACAAGTACTCATACTCAGAAATCTCGACTTTTTCTCCTAAGCGAAGAATCTGAATCAGTTCTCTCGAATCAAGGTGTGAGTTGAATCATGGACTCAGATTCATGAATCGGTATCCCCATACGGCCCTTGCCTAGAGTGATAATATGAGCCAGAGTTGTCAGTTGTCTCTTCCGGAGAAACAAACCCTCGGGTGAGCGGTTCCAGATCCGAGCGCACTGAAAGGCGATACCACCGAAACGAAACCGTTTACGTTGTGTGAAACTGTATAGATATGAGCGGGAGACGTAACGTCTTATAAGTATACCTCATAGCGAATGAAGAGTACACTAGGAGTCTTCCGAAGCGCAACACAGGCATTAATTCCACTCTCGGTAGGGGACTACGCCGAATGCATTATGTTGTGTCCGACCATAGGGGATGACTTCGGAAGAAGGGACAGCTGCTACACCGGTTCGCCTCTACAGTAGAGGCTCTACTTGTTCTCTATGGGAGCCATTCAGTCACACGCCGCCTCTTGGTGCATCCAACGTCCTAAGAAGGTCGGCGATGCTTCGGCCAACGACTGCTCTGCAACGAAGCGTCTTCGCCTTCCCCCAGAGAAGCTCACATCGCCACTCGCCCACCGAATGGAAACTTCCGTCGAGAGCTCAAGTGAGACATTTGTGACCGCTCGTGAAATTCGTTTTTGTAGCGTCAGGTGAGACTCTCCGGGCAGACAGTCCAAGAGTTGATGATAGTCCTCGAGCATCTGATGAACCCTATCAGGTGTGTCTAATTTTCGTATCACACCATCGTCGCGCACTGCTCGTCCAATACTGCGACTTGGTTGATATTTTACAAGGTTCTGAATGAGGGAGGCCAAACTCCGAGCGCCGCCGATCTATTTAATGTACACGAGAGGATTACTCCGAGCTATGAGTCAGACGACTCCGGGACAACGACAGACGCCGCCACGTCGTCTGAGGTCCACTGCATGGTATCCGAGGATGCCGCGTCGTCGTCGGGCAAGGATGTGAACTACGACTACGACTTTGAGTGTAGCAGCAGTGGAGAAGAACTCGATGGGAGACGAATTGAAGAAGAGTATATCACCGCCGCCATCGAAGAGCCTCGGGACAGCGACGGTCAGGCCACCCATGAGCTCCACACTGATGGTCTCCCCGAGGAATCATCCACGACGAAAGACATCCCGAAGGTGATGGGCGTCGAAGGCGTTTATAATGACGAGGAGGATATGCCGGAGACCAGGTACCCCAGTGATGTTGATAGGACCCCTCGAGGTGCTTCACGAACCTGCAATAACTATTCGGAAACTCCTCCTTCAGACGAGTCCGCCAATCTATTCACTGTTCACTCCACGACTACCAAACCGCACAGTGGGAAGCAGAAGCGTCGTCATCGTCGAGGAGTGAGAGGATGATTGTTATTCATCCTGTTACTCCATGAAGCATCATGTTACTTTACTGACCCTGTCCAGTATCATGCTCAGACAGGGATAGCGCTTGTGGCGTTCGTAGTTGGTTGAAAACCTTCGATCGGGAGGTCAGGAACTATTCAAGCATAGCGAGGTAAGACACACCCCCAGCACGAATAGCTCAGAAGCGACAAGATAGGAAAACCAGAAGCTCAGCCGTAGCACCACTGATGGGGACAAACTCGCTGTAAACCGTAAACGATGTGGATGTGGGAAACGCGTACATGTGGAAAATGACCCCGATGCGGAATGTCGACTCTTCGCGAGGTTTAAAAGTCTCATGAAAATCCTGCAGCTGGTTGCCACTGGTAACTTACCAGTTGCCGAGTTACGTGCCGAAGAGCGATTCGAATGAGATACAAAGTCGAGTTGTGACGGATCGAATGCTAAGCGATCAAAGTCATCGTTATGCTTCCATGATCGTTATTTTGACTACGGCAAAGCAGCGAGAAACGGCCATGGATAAGGAGACTGGCCGAAGAAGGGTCACACTTTCATCACCTTCTGCCGCATCCATCAGGTGAAGACATACAACCGAGGTGGTGGGCACCTCAATGTAATCGATGACTACAGTGGAGGAGTCTTGCATTGTGCCGACTCACTGGCCGAACCCGAGCGACCATCAAACGAGGTCGCCCGGAACCCTCTAAAGGTCTA